TTAATGTTATGAAGAAAGGGATTATTTGAATAAATTGTTTAGTTAGAAACGTTCAATGCATTAAATTGATTCTTTTTAAAATTTAGCGACGAAACTAATATACCTTTAAAGTTCATTACCTAATCTAACGTTGTTCTATCCACGTCATTATAATGACGGAAAGATCAATCTATATTATTTCGCCGTTAAATTTAACGGTTCAAAATCAAAATCAAAACTTAATATTATATTTAAAATAATTAAAAGTTAAATGACATAAACTATATATATCTTCTTTGTTATATATTTAAGTTTCTACCGTTAAATAAGTGTCCAAGTTATAGACTATATTCAAAGTTAATTTTTGGTGCCTCAATAATTTTTTTTGTTAAAAACAAATGTCTAACATTTTATTTGTTACACATTTAAGTTTATATAGTTAAAAACCCGTTAAGTGACATATGTTATATTTATATTTTTTAATTTTAAAAAATAAAAATAATATTTTAAAGAAAGAAAAAAAAAATTAAACCCCCTCGCATTATAATTTCAAAAAAATTTGAAAAATTTAAATTATAATATTAAGTATTTTTTAAAATAAAAATTTAAAATTTTATACGTATGACACGTATTAGATAACATTTAAATTCAACAACAATTACGGTGTAGACATTAAAAAATATAATGTTAAAAAAGTTAAAAAACGTTTACTTTAACAAAAAAATTATTTAGATAATTAAAATTAACTTTAGATATAACTTCGATTTTATATTTAAGTCTAAAAATATTACATAAGAAAATCTCCTTGATTTTTTTTTTCCATGAATTCCGCTCTTTTAAAGACAAGCATTTAAAGCAAAAATCTTAGTCATTATCTCCTTACTTTTTCCTGTGTTGCTTCCCCTTATCGCTCTTTCTTGTGAAGAAGCGGAAGAGAAATCAAAGGGAAAGAAACTGATATCTGACAACATAGCTCTTTAACTTACAAAATTTCTGAACAAAAATTATGGGTTTTCTCTTTTTCTTCTAATTTCATAAGATTTTGCATGTTAATTTCTTGATAGGTAAAGGTTGATTTTGTGTTATAGCACGGTTTTATCAGATTGTTATCTGATTATTATTATTGTTGTTGTTATTATCATTTTCAATTATAGTTATCAAACATTTTCTGTTATTCAATTTATTTACTTTTATCTTGTAAAGGTTTCTTGTAGAATTCGTGAAATTTTGAATCTTTGTTTGAAATTATTCTATTTGCCAACTATTTTGATCTGATCAATAAGAAACTAGCTAAACTGATGGTTTTAAATATCTCTATTTCTAATTTTATTGACAATGTTGTTCTTTATAGTTTATTCATTTAATATATTGTTTTATGTGTGAATCAGTTGCCTTGTTTACCAGCATGTTCACTCTTTTAATCCAATTAACAAAAAGCTAGCAAACATATTGCTTTGGGTTAATTTTTTTATTATTCATAATTTCTATTTCAAACTAAATGATATTTATATTTTTGCTATACGATATGGTATCTTAATCTTTGTTTTTGGATATTTTCAGGTTGTTCATTTTTGTGATTAATGGGTGTTGAGGTTGTTGAACCAGACATGGCTCTGTTATCTGTTGACAAAGTAACCGAAATTGACAATCAATTCTCCATGATAAGGAAAATGGAACAATAGACAAAGATCCACTTTATTGTGAACCCATTGAAGTTGATTCAAATGTTGAGGAACCGGATAAGGGAGAGAATAATGCATCCAATGTCATCTTCCCGAAGGATGCAGTAGATGAGTGGCCTGCACCTAAGCAGATCCACTCTTTTCATTTTATTAGGTATCGCCTTTACGAAGATCTGGCAATAAAAGTCAAAATCGAACAGGCTGATAAAGAGGTACAAAAGTGGAATAAAGCCAGGTTTAAGCTAACCGAGGAATTGAAGGTGAAGAGGGTGAGTGATATTAGCCTTCTCCTGTTTATTCTTTCATTGACTCTTACACATTAGGTGAGACATTATTATCGGGACGAGCCTTTAAACACATTTTGCAGCGCAATTTGATGTGCTTATAATAATATGATGAATGTAGAGGCATTAAACCTGGGTGCATTTATTTGAATGTTTGGAATTTAAGTCCTTGAACATGTAACACTTTACTCATGCTATTGTTGTTTAGTTGTCTGGTAGGATTTTGAGCAATTTAAGACGATTCTAGATGAGAAAAAGAAGGAAATAGCCACTGCAGCAAGGCTTTAGGCAAGCTTCGCAATAATAGAGATGCTGATGGTCGTGTTGCTATATGTTATTCTGAGGAAGAGCTTGATTTTATCGATGATTTACTATAAGCTCTCACTGCATTTAGATTTATCGGTTGTCTTTTTGCTGCAGTTAATCCTTTTCTTTTCTTTGATTCACTTCATGGGAATTTGAATTGCAGATCCATAGCTTGCAATATCGCATTCAGCATGAAAGCATCATTGACTGAGGAGAAGCAACTACTTAGAGAAATCAAACAACTAGAGGGAACCCTGAACAAGTTGTTGCTATTGCTGCAATGAGATCAAAGATTGAGGACTCGTTAGGCCAAAAAGAAGACATTCAAGATCAAGTTAAAGTACTAAAATTTGATTTTGCACATTTATTGTCAAAGTTCGATTTTCCCCTTATGAATATAAAACATCATAGCATTGCACTAAAAAGCCTTGGTTTATTGTAGCTTATGGGTGTTGATTTGAATGGAGTAAAGGAGGAGCAGCAAGCAATCTGGTCCAAAAAAAGGCAAATTAAAGATAAATTGGATGCTATTGAGAATAAAATCGAGTCTTTACAGAAGGAGCTAGAAGCTGTGACCCAGAAGAGGGATGAAGCATATGGAAACATTCAGGACCTGAGGAAAGAACGTGATGAAGGGGTATTGTCTTTTCTCTGCTTCAATTCTTAAGATATCTGTTTCATATGCTGATGATGTCGAAACAAAATCATTTATACATGAATAAGTAGTATCACTTAAAATAGTCTTGTGTGCATTTCCGGGCTTTTCACAATGAAAAATGTTTAGACAGTTCTCTGCCTTTGTGTTGTGGGAGTTGAATAATGTATGATTCTTGGAATCTTGTTGATTATTTGTTTTCATGCACAATAAGAGATTGCCAGAAATTTGTATTTTTTGTGTGGTTGAATGGTTTTAACGAGGTTACCATTAATGTTTGATGCTTGGTTTGAATAATTGGGTGCTCGTAAGTTGATCACAAGTGTTTTCATTAGTATCATATTCACTGGGACATTATTTAATTATACTATTGATGAAATGTTTAAGCTCACAATGAAGTGACCTTACTATATCAATATTTGTTTTCACTACATCGAAAGATGCCAAAGTCCCAAAGTCTGGACTTTCTGTATTACTATAAAACCCTTATGTTGGTTTAGTGCACGAGGCAAGGGAGACCTTCGGGAAGCAGTGGCTCACGATGTTAATAGAAAATTAACTGCATCATAATCCTTGTGCATGTAAAGATAGAAATCCTTTTTAAGATCTTCTGTTTCTTAATCTTTCTTAGATGATAAATTATTCGGGCATAACTTTTATATGGTTTTGTCAGTGCTTTCATTCTGTCTAGGATTAGTGATGTTAAATAATACATATTATAGGTCAGCTTTCAGATATTCTTGTGCCGATATTACTAATGACTCAATTACTTTTCATTTTCAAATTTTCAGAATGCTCCCTTTTACCAGAGCCGTTCAGCTGTAAACAGGGCTAAATTGCTTGCTGCAGAAAAAGATATAAAGGCACTTGAGGAGTTCTCAACTGCAGAGGTTTGTTGAGACTGCTGATTAGTGTTACATCCGGAGTGTCTCTTGCCTTTATATTTGGCTGCACTCTTTATCTTTTATATTTCTTTTAGGTTGAGAAGTTCATGGCTCTCTGGAATGGCAAGAAAGCCTTCAGGGATGACTATGAGAAAAGAATTCTGCCATCCCTGGACAGTCGGCTATTGAGTCGGGATGGTCGGATAAGGAATCCTGATGAGAAACCACTGGTTGCACCTGAGAAACCAGTGCAATCTGAAAAAGACACAATTCTGCGACCTAGTGTAAGACAACAAAAGGAAGAAACCAAATCAGGTCCCCAACCAGATTCCAAACACCCCAAAAAGGTATCGAAAGATGGCGAAACTAAAATAATGGAAATTAAATCCTCGTTAGAGTATAGTGGTGTAGCTGAGGAGATCTCGGGATCTGGCAAGTTTCAAAAGGACACTTCTGCAGACAAGGAAGTTGATGAAGAAGAAGTTGGCTGAGAAAGCGGCAGCCAAAGCTGCTAGAAGATCTCAAATGGAAGCTGAAAAGAAGTCAAGGCAATCATTTGCTTCGTTATTCAGTTTTTATTGTAATTAGTTTGTGTTTGAAACTGAAACACTCTTGATCTTTTTTTTTTCAGGAGCGTGAAAAGAAAGTAAAGAAGAAGGCAGCAGCATATCCTGAGGAGTCACCCGAAGCTGTGGCACAGGATTCAGAAACCGAGAAGGTCGATGTCATTACTGATGCACCTGTTTCAGTGAAGGATAAAGTGCCAAAGGAGAATACTGCTAGGTACAGGAATCGAAATAAAGGACTTGAGTCACTTCCACGAGCCATCCTGAAACGTAGGAAGTCGGCCAACTACTGGATATGGGCTGCCCCTGCTGCGACGTTGGTGCCGATACTTCTAGCGATGAGCTACTATATCTTGTCTGAAGAAATTTTAACTTGAATGGAACTGGGAGTGATGGATAACATTTTTGGTCGATCATACATGCTAGTAGGTAAGGCCATAGTGGCAAAAGTTGATTTGTTCTTTGCATCCCATGAAGGATGGACAAATAACTCATAATGTTGCTGGGAGTGATGTACTTTATGGTAGTTCAATTGAATAAAGATGGTACCTTCTCTTAATCTTTTTTTGTTACAGTAGTGTACATATATATCGAATTCATCATAACATGCTTCGAAAAAAAGGCATTTTGAATATTTGATCTGATTAAGCATAACCACAATATCCAAACTCACACTTGACTCCAGGCGAGCAGCGATTGTCACACTTGCCGCAGTGATCAAAATTGTGGACAACATCCGTGCAAACTCCACCACAGCAACATTGCCCGAACTTGCATCTGTTCCTGCATTCTCCACAGTTATTCTGATCACGGAGAACATTTCGACAATGCGTCTTGCAGCAGTACAATATGTTGGTCCCGTTGTTCACAGAAATGCCGTTGCATATGTTCTGATAGGAGTCGGGTTCACAATGTGCACTTTTCCTGATCTTATCTTTCTTCGGTGAGGTCATTAAGAATCGACTTCGTGATCGAAGGTTAGGGACAATAAGAGGATGACCGAGCACGTATTCTTCCTCTTCGGTGAGGTCGTTAAGAATCGACTTCTTGATCGAAGGTTAGGGACAATAAGAGGATGACCGAGCACGTATTCTTCCTCTTCGTTGAAGTCTGCGATTTCAAATGGGAAGGTTGCTTGAGGATGAAAGGATAAGAGGATTGAGATGGCAAGGGGGAGAATGGATATAAGCTTCAGATTGTTATTAGAAGCCATTGCTTTCAAGTGGAGGGAAATTTTCGCATAAAAGAGTGTAAGCTAAGGGAGAGTGGAGGGTGTTTAAGGTGCAAATTTATAAGGGTAAATTACATCAATACGTAACTAGACTTTAGATAATATCTTGTTTTGTTCGCTAAATTATAAAAGTTTCAAGTTGTCATTCAATTTTTGTCATTGAAACTTTAAATTATTAACAACATAATGATGATTGTTATCTTTTCAATTTTTGCAAAAAAAAAAAAATCTATAATTTACGCATAATATAAGAATATAAATATTAGAATTTGGCCTAACTAATTTCACAATTACTATTGAGCTAAACAAATCCACGGTTTACAAGAATTTACGCATAGTATAGAGACTTGATATAAGAATTTAATCTCTAATGATAGAAATAGGACACGTAGTAGGGATTTAAATAGCGATCCGTTATCGGAATAGTGATCGTTACACAACGGTGAAAGTGTTGCTCAAAATCGTTATTGTATGATCACGAAATCCATAATAATCGTAATAGTATGTTAGTATCACAATCGCGATATATGTGTTGCAACCGACACGATCACAACCATAATTTACGCCCCAAACCCACAAGCTTTCAGTTAGGGATGGGCATGGACCGAACTCGACCGGTTCCGACCCGACCCATGCCCATCCCTACTTTCAGCCTCCCCAGAGCAAACCTCTCTTTCTCTGCCCCCAGTTTGAGTTTACAGATCAGTTTCACATGCTTCCTTCTGTTCTATTTTCTCCCATAAATTCATGACTTTTGTTGTTCCAACTACCATGTTCATTTGCATCTTATTTTGTTTTGAGTTGATTGCATCACATGTACTTAAAGTAGGATCTTAATTTTAAGTTGGTCCCTAAACTTTTAAATATTCCAATTTCATCCTTAATCTATGACTATCTTTCTAAATCAGTCCTCAAACTTTTGAACATTTCAATTTCATCCCCAAACTATGACATTCATTCTAAACTGGTTCCCAACTTTTGAACATCTAATTTCATCCAGAATTATACGTATATACTAATCACATCCCTTATTAATAAAATCATTAGGCCATGTTCTATTATTATATGTTTAAAATAACATAGTTTAGGTTAAACTATGGTTGAAATTAATTACATACTTGGATGAATTCGGAGATAAATTTATAATATTTAAAAGTCTGGAGACTAATTTAGAAAGAGAGTCATAGTTTAGGGATGGGATTAGAATGCTAAAAATCAAGGACTAATTTAGACAATCATAATTTGGGGATTAAATTAGAATATTCAAAAGTTTAAAGACCAGTATGAGGATTATAGTTTGGAGACATTATGATGCAATCAACTCTTTTGTTTTTAAAATGTATAATTTATTAAGCTTCAAGAGTTTTGGTCAAAGAAATTAATCTTAAATAAAATCGATAAATTTAGTTTGATTAAAGAGTTTAATGAATAATTTTGAGTTTAGATTTTTCATTGAATGTTTTTTTTAACTCCCTCCATTTTTCATAATTCTGGTTAAGATAGATGTTATTAGAGTTTTATAAACTAAATTTTATTCTAATTTAATCTAAATATTTTGTGATGTAATTCGATGGTTAATAAATAAAATAGGGAAAAGTAGTTCGAGTAGGATGTCTAATTCGAATTCGTACAAGACTATACTTCAACTATTAGACGTTAGATAAGAGTAAGAAATCTAATTTGAGTATTTTTTCACTGTATACATTTCTTTGTGCAGAGGGACTTAACTAAACTTTTAGAAAATTTAGGGATTTGTTTTGACCCTTAAGCAAAAACGTTCTAAATTTACCCAAACAATGCCGCGTGGCATGCCCCATGGGCTATAGCAACCCAACCCATTTACCATCCCCGACCCATAATCCACCAACGTCTACATTTCACAATTTTAAATTCAAATCTAATTAATCAAAAAAAAAAGTTCAAAATCTAAAGCGCCTAATTTTCCATCTTTCCCACTCTTCTCTTGTTCTCTTTTTTCCCCCTCTTCAATGGCGACGGCGACCCCTACTCCAACAAGAACCCCAAGAGACAAATCCAAGAGATCTCACTATCACCACCAATCAGATGACTCTTCCTCTTCTCTGTCCCGTTTCGAGGCCTACAACCGCCTCCAAGCTGTTGCGGTGGCCTTCGGAGAGAAGCTTCCGATCCCGGAGATCGTAGCCCTCGGAGGTCAATCTGATGGAAAAAGCTCTCTCCTTGAAGCGTTGCTTGGATTCCGTTTCAATGTGCGTGAAGTTGAGATGGGTACTCGTCGACCTCTCATTTTGCAGATGGTTCACGACCCTTCTGCACTTGAGCCTCGTTGTCGATTCCAGGTGGTTTTTGGTCTTCTTTTTTCCTTCGTGATTTCATTTTGCATTTGATTTAATGGGAATTTCTTGGGTTTTTTTTTCTATTTCATTTTAAAGTTTTGTGTTGATTTGTTACATGATGAATCGACCTGTGTTTATTTAGTTTATAGGAAGTAAATAACTGAATCTGAATGGAAGAATTGCAAATTGCACAATGAAAAGAAGTATGAGATTTTTTGAAGAATTTATAATTGAATAACGTCGGACTTCTCTTTTCAATAGAAATTAGAGAGATCAAATTTGTAGAAAGTTAAATTTGGTGAAAAAATCAATAATTAGCTACTTACAAATGGATTAGATTGTTTTAGATGTGAATAATCTTGAATTATAGGTTTAATTATTTTCTAGCAGATTTTTTTTTTATTTCTTAAGCATCTGGGTTTTCTTCATTGAATGCTCCACTTTGTAGCTTGCTATGTGTTCTTTGTTTTGTTTTTCTCTTTTTCATTGAAACTTAAAATTGACAATTGAAAACAGGAAGAAGATTCCGAAGAATATGGAAGTCCATTGTTTCATCATCAACAATTGCAGATATCATAAAATCAAGAAGTGAGGCACTTTTAAAGAGACGAAAACTTCAGTTTCTCCCAAGCCAATTGTGATGAGAGCTGAATTTGCGCATTGTCCTAACCTCACCATCATTGATACCCCTGGATTTGTTCTTAAGGTAGGTTGCTAATTCATTTGAAAAAGAAAATTCCGGCTTAAATTGATTTAAATCTTCGTAATACTATGATTTTATTTATGAATTGAAATGTATGATTGGAAATTTCTTGGCAGGCAAAGAAAGGAGAACCAGAGAACACTCCACAGGAGATTCTTTCCATGGTGAAGTCATTAGCTAGTCCTCCCCATCGTATTCTGTTGTTCCTCCAGCAGAGTAGTGTGGAATGGTGCTCATCATTGTGGTTAGATTCAATTAGGGAAATTGATCCAACCTTCAGAAGGACAATAATTGTGGTCTCCAAGTTTGATAACAGACTCAAGGTACATATTTTGTTGCTTTTCTTTTTGGCTACGTCATCTACTCATCTATGAGATGCAACATTGAGCTGGCACATTCACACTACTTTTTCATATTACACATGAAATCAAGGGATTTAAATAATCCATGTTACCTGGACTTGGATGTAAGTTTTCGATACAGGAAATGTGCTTAACGTGGGCATTTTCAACTTTTTCAAGCTTTTCAATGTATTTGGATGATCCTTGGAGGGTCATATCCCTGTACCCATGTCTGAATAAAAAGTCGGTGTAACATAGGGAAAAATAAGCCTTGTGTTTGATAAATGTCTCTATGTGTGTAGCTTGTGAGGAATTTGATTGTGGTAATTCAATTGAATTAAATGCAGGAGTTTAGTGACAGATGGGAAGTGGACCGTTATTTGAGTGCAAGTGGTTATCTCGGAGAAAATACTCGACCATTTTTTGTAGCATTGCCCAAGGATAGGACCACCGTTTCGAATGATGAATTCCGAAGGCAAATATCCCAAGTGGATGCTGAAGTTTTACGCCATCTGCATGATGGAATCAAGGGAGGTTATGATGAAGAGAAGTTCAAACCTTATATTGGTTTTTGTTCATTGAGGGAGTATTTAGAATCTGAACTTCAAAAGAGATACAAAGAAGCTGCTCCAGCAACACTGGCATTGCTTGAGCAACGGTGCAGTGAAGTCAACATTGAACTTGCGAGATTGGACTCCAAAATACAAGCAACTTCTGATGTTTCTCATCTTCGAAAATCAGCCATGATGCATGCAGCTTCTATCAGCAATCACGTGGTGAGACATCTCTCACACATGTTCATTTGTTGCAGATAAACAGTACCATAATATTAGATTTTACCTACTTGAGAAAACCATATGCCTTTCAGGCAGTGCATAACCATATGACTAGGACTCAGGTTTGAGCGTCAGACACGTGTATGCCTGACTTTTTCCCATTATTCTATGTATAATCATTTAGGAAATTGGATAACATATATTGTTTGACTGCCTGAATTCACATATCAGAATTGAATTTTTAAGAATTTAACTGTCTTCATAGGCCTTTGTTTAGCTACATGAAACCTAATGATACTGTTTTGTTGCTTAAGGGAGTTTTGATTGATGGAGCAGCAGATCCAGCCCCGAGCAGTGGGGGAAAACAACAGAGGAGGAAAGGTCAGAGAGTTGCATAGGGAGTTGGCCAGGTGTTACCATTGATATAAAACCTGCTAATGCTATTCTTCGACTTTATGGTGGAGCTGCTTTTGAAAGGGTAATGCATGAATTCCGCTGCGCTGCATATTCCATTGAATGCCCTCCAGTATCAAGGGAGAAGGTAGATATTTCGAATATGGAATTCGCCCCAAGAATATCATGGTTGAGCATTTGAAAGTGGATGAAGTACTAAACAGATATGTTTTTCCTGAAACAGGTTGCAAATATCTTACTTGCACATGCTGGTCGAGGTGGGGGTAGAGGAACAGCAGAGGCTGCTGCAGAAATTGCACGAACTGCTGCACGGTCATGGCTTGCTCCTCTCCTTGATACTGCTTGTGATCGGCTGGCTTTGTTTTAGGCAATCTTTTTGACATTGCTCTGGAGAGGAACCGCAGCCGGGAATCAGAGTGTAAGAAGCTCTTAAAGTTTTCCTTTTTTTCAG